AGGGATCCCCTTGACATCCTAGGTTGTTGGTTGGATTTCATATGGATTTATAAAGGATCTTATATACAAGAACTGAGTGCTAACTGAATTGGAGCCGTATTTACTTAAATCTCAATTGATTTTCATTCGATTTTAATCGATTTTACATGGATTTGAATTCGATTTCAATTGATTTTAACGGGATTGTAATTGGATTTCAATTAATTTTAAAAAGGAATTTTGATTAAATTTCAATTGCTTTTAGCGTGATTTTCATTCGATGTCAATTGATGTTAAAAGGAATTTTGATTAAATTTCAATTGATTCTAACGTGATATTCATTCGTTTTCAATTAATTTTACAAGGAATTTAATTAAACTTCATTTGATTTTAGCGGGATGTAATTCGATTTCAATTGGTTTTAACGGGATTGTATTTCGATTTCAAAAGGAATTTTGATTAAATTGCAATTGATTCTAACGGGAGATCAATGATGTTAAAAGGAATCTTAATTAACTTTCAGTTGATTTTAGCGGGATTTTAATTCGATTTCAATTGATTTTAAAAGGAATTTTCAAATAGATTTCAATGGAGTCTAACGGGATTTTAATTCGATTTCAATTAGTTTTGAGAGGAATTTTATTCAAAATTGAATTTTAAAGGACTTTAACGTCAGCACTACCAAATTCTTTCAATAAATATCCAATTCTAATAATGCATAATTCCTGAGCACCCGGATTTTTTTTAATTTATTAGGGAGGGGGGGTGAGGTCGTTTATTCTTAGGGGAAGGGATTGCTCGGGTATGGTCAGGTTACTGGCGAGAACATGAAGGAGGCGATTGAGATCAATCGATCTCTTACAGCCCTGGGAGATGTTATCGAGGCGCCTAGAAACCAGAAGACTGGCTGTGGGTGCTTGGCATAGTTGCGAATTTGGAAAGAAGCGGTTTCGGGATTGGAGCAGGTGCGGCTCTTGCTTTTCTGGAATGTAATGCATAGGCTTTGAGCTTGGACAGAAGATGCGGCAAAGCTCCGTTCCTTGCTCAACGTTAAGACTCGGCCTTGCGGTAGAGTGTTGGAGGAGACTGACCGAGACCCATACATGCAAGCTGATTTGTTCAATGCATTTATGAGCTGGAGGCTGCATGTGCGGTCCCCGAGGTCAGCACCCGTACTATCTAGTCCTTGAGGTATCCCTGCCTTATGATGTCTGGTGCCTCTTCTGAAAACAGAACCGGGCTGCATAGTAGTGATGAGTTCACGGGGCTCCATGGTCCCTCCTTGTACAGTTCGTAAGCCAGTAGAAATTTGCAGCGTGTGTTCGTCCAGCCCCTCCGCAAAATCCTGACTCTTCTGAAGCCCTGAAGCCTTGAACACAAACCCTGAGCCCTGACACTTGCTGGCTCCCTAGAAGTGATCGCGACTCGAAGGCCATTGCAAGAGGCAAGGCCCAGATTCCCTACCGAAACCATCGCCTCACGCAGCTCCTTCAGGAGTTTGCCACGGGGTTAGAGGATTCGAGGCGTTGTCTGTAAGATTCTGGAGCTGTGTAAGGTTTTCTTTGAGGGGTGCAGGATCTCAGGGACTTAGCGCACAGAATGCAGAACACAAGGGCTGGAGCTTGTCAACTTCAGGTGTAGTGCTCAGGGAGATGGAGGTGACTGCTTGGCAGAATCATTTTTCAGGCCCTGTTCAGCAGCACAAAGAAAAGCAAGCTGGTCAGGCCTCAGACTCGGATTCAATCGGTCTGGTTGCTCTTGAAGCCCAGCTGGGGTCACGGTTTTGGCCTGGCAGAGGATGTGAGAGAAGCCAGCAACAGATGCAGCAGAATGATCTCCCTACCAGCCGGTAGCAAACTGCTTCTTTGAATCTGGAATCCTGTGATCAGCAGCCCCAAGCTGATCCTACTTGTAGCATGCGCCTTCGAAGCCAAAAGGTCAAGGACCACTTCAAAACGGCCTCTTGCTATCACTGTACAATATCTGTCCAAACCAAAACGGTTCATCCATGCTTAACCGAAAAGAGACATCGATTCTTCCAGGCCCTGAAAAACCTTTCAGCCATGGCAACCTGCAAGGATTCATTGGGCGGTTCAGCGAAAACCCTGATGTTTGTGAACTGCTCGCCTGCAAGGCGCATTCGTTGGGGTTCGATGAAGGGGTCTATGAAAACTATTAACTTAGGCCCCATGCTTGGAGTGCGAGGAGTTGGGCTCGCTCCCAGTTTGCCTTTTAAATGGCGCAGACAACTCCGTCCGAGAGGCTCTTCAGCTATATCATGAGCCAGTATGATTCCTTCTTATGAGTTGTCCTGCATAGGACCGTGATTAGACATGCAGCTACCCACAGGGTCCCAAGCGCCGTAGGTCTTCAGGTATGTTTTCGTTTATAAGTAATATAGCCTCAGACCCTCTGTCCTTCTTGTCAAAACTCATGAGGATCTGTGTACACTGAAGCTGAAACTCAGGAACAGCAGCGTAGCATACCCTGGCGTCCAGTTGTGAAGATGGAACTGAGGCAAAGCGCGCCTGTTCCCCAAACTTCCTCTGAG